CACCTAAATAACATAGTTAGTATTCGACCTACTGCACATATAATCTAATCTAAACTTGCAAATAAAACTTATAAAAGCTAAGCAAACAAAAAACCTATGACGAAAGCAGTTTCATCTGAAACTCGATCTGAAAATCCATCTCCCGTTCCTGGTTTTGCGTGACAACGTCGCGCAGCTACTTATTGAGTTATTGATACGCTTACATGTGAATTGTCAAAACTATAAATTTATCGACTGACTCTTATGCTTATGACTCTTATGTAGTTCAAAATTCTTAACAACAATAAATAACTTCACTTCTAATTACACAAAACGAATAAAACTTAATGTCGCTTGAGCCAAGAGATCCTCTATTTCCGGCAAATCAAATAGATTACTTTTATTATTTGAATTTTCTGAATTCTTTGTGGTTATCTCAACTGGCAGATGGATCTAATAATTTGATAACTTCTTTAAATTTGGATTCTTTAATGCATGAGGATACTTCTCAAGGTAAGAAATTATAATTGAAATAATAATAAGAGAGAGGAATTAATAATTTTGTTCATATTAGATACAATTGCTTCAGAAGATTCTTTGGCCATAAATAAATTTTAAAAAAATATATGACAAAATCAACGCTCTTGATGTTCTTTTTACTAATGATCAATATAAATTTTTTATTTTGCTTTTTACTATTTCATGTATACTTAAAGTTAGGATCCAGTTAGAACTGCTGTACATCATATGAGTGCATGAGATTGAAAACCTGGAAACAAATTTGATGATTCACTATGATTGGTTACAGGTTTTCACTCTCATGCACTCATATAGCACATGTTTCTAGTGCTACTTGAAAGATCCCGATGCTCCATTTTTCCGGTCACTTAACGGTAATTCTCTCGTATATAGGTTTCAAGAATACAATTTATCCCCCTTCCTGTCTACAAATTTCCTAAATTTGTTATTCTATAACGATAATACAAAGTCTTTTAGGACAATTATCCTGGCAGAAATTTGCGTGTAACAAAAGAAATAAAGAAAATTCCATTTAGAAATACAATAGAATCTTCTGAAGGTTCTTTACATACATAATACTACAATATATAAATAATTACGATAAATATCGGTAAAATATATATTATTCTAACTATAAACACAATACATCCTGTTCTCATTTGCAACATGCTTCGTAGAAGTTGTGTTACTTCATCTTGTATAAGCTGTCGAATGCGTAAAGCAAAATGTGGTGGTAACAGTCCACGTACTAACTGTGTACGTTTGAGCATAGAATGTACCTATGAACAGCATCAGAAAAAACGTGGACCAAAGCCAATGCCCTCTTATGTTAAAACTAAAGTAGAATGCAATTATGGATCACAAGTTATACGTGGACCAAATTCCAACATTATAACTAAAATAACAACCAACAATGATAAATTTCGTAGTCCATATATTTCAACGGCATGCTTCTACTGTGTACGTTCTAAAGCAAAATGTTCTGTAGGTATACAATGTGATAGGTGTATCTCAAAAGAGCGTGTATGAGTAACCCTAAAAGAACCAACAATAAAAAATTTGCTGGATTGTTAAATTCCAATGATAAAAACAAACTTATTAATAAAACAATCGCAATTTAGGATAATTGAATCAGCAGAACCAAATAATCGATTGAGTAATTAATGGATTGTAATAATAAACTCTGATATTTAGAATACAAAATATATAGTAAATAGCGGATTACGTAATAGTGACTGTAATAATTTAAATATTGAACTTTGCAACTATTAATATGAAATAATTACATTGCAACAATCTGTCAAAATTGAACTTGTTAACAATAAGCAATTTAATGGTGCTTATAATGCATTATTAAATGCAAAAATTGTGGAAATCTAGACATCTTATTAGCATTTAATTACTATAATTTAATTTTATAATAATAAAATCCTAATATTAACAATATATTATCTAGAATTTTAGTAATAATAAAGGCTTAAAAATTACCATCTTTTAACTGATTTATTAGGTGTTTAAAAATGCTGTTAATGAATAATCTTGTAATAAAATTTTAAAATTGCTAACTTGATATTTTATATTGCTTATTGTCAGCAAATAATTACATTTCTCAAAATTATCAGATTTTTGCAAAGGACATCACATGTTTTCGACGATCCTTTCCCCGAAAATTATTTTCCAACATATAATTATAATTAACTCTAAATCAGCCAACCCTGTCACAGTTTCAGTACGTGCTACAAAATTATGGCATGACGTGTAATGATATTTTTCTAGTGGTCTTTTTATTAAATGGAATTTAGAATTTGTAGCCGGAGATAGTAACAATAGTAACAATAAGTTATAATGTATGAACGTGTTAAGATTCTGAAACAGACAATTCTGATTACTAAAAAATTGTGTCAAAATCTTTCTTAATTTACCAGAATCTCCGATATTTTACATTAAGCTTTTGTGCATTGATAGTAATAGTAATACTAATTACAAATTATAAATATCATTAAAAAAAATTCTTTCTAGAATTGCGAGTGGTTTTTGGTAGTGGATTTCTGCACATGCTAAAGAATATACTACGTATAGAAGAATTTTGCATGATCTAACCCATATACGGGAAGTTTATACGTACTAGTTTACGCACATACATAAAATTTAAACTACATATCCACAAATAGCAAAGTAAATCGGATATTAGTTAAATTATAAATACGTACGAAAATAATTAAACGTAAATAAATCCCTAATCGGTGACTATCCATTGATAACCAAATAACTACGTATATCTAGTATTATTTTCCGATATCAGAACATCTGATAACACATGTTTGATGAAAAATATGACGTACGCACGTGAAAAGCTAATATTATGTGATGAATAGGTAATTCAGTTTTATAGCGATACAATTGAATAATTTATTTTAAGTATGTACGGATATTGATTGTTTTTAAATGAGCAATAAGAGAATGACTATAATGCATTATAACATTTTCAAATTTTAGACATCTTTGCTTTTTCAAATTAAGTGCTTTCCGCTAAGAATTGATACTAATCCTAGTTAAAAACAATAGCTGTATTAAAATTTTAAATAATATTAATTACAAAGTCTAAATTTTAAATTAAATGTTAAATAAAAATTATATAAAAATCAATATTTATCATGTTTTTTATAAGTTTTATCGTCAATTATTATCTCTGTAATTACTTCATTACTAAAATTATTACTTTCACCGTCATTATATACAACACAGTGTCTTTTATGTATTATATTAAGAATATAATATAATATCATAATAATCATATCTAACGTGAATATAGTAAGATAACATGTTGCAGCTAAAATATCAAATGGAGGTGGACTAAATACTAAAAAAAAATGTCAATAAAGGCTGAATTAAATTATATTATAGAATTTAAACAATATGCCATAAATTATTCACCTAAACTTGTTGCAGAAAAAGCAGCTCCAAGCATGTCTATTCCTAAAAATATCAATGAAATGCCACATACAAATTTTCTGCCTAAAGAAAAAAAATTTAAATAAATATATTATAAACCTTTTTCTTTTTTTTGTGAACGTAAGTAAAAAAGAACAAAAACATAAATAAATATCATACAATAGATTTCGTAAAATTGGGGTGCATATCCGACAAATACCAATATAGTGGGTATTATTCCAACAACTATTCTTGGCCAGTCTATACTCATTTTATTTGCTAGCTAATTTCAAAATATAAAGTTATATTATAAAATTAAAAATCCAATATAATAAAGGTAATCATATAAAATTTAACATATGTAGCCACAAAAGATACTGTGAAGACAGTGTTAAAGTATCACTACCCCATCAAGGGAGGGATCAGGTGTAACATGAAAATAAAAGCGATTTTAAAATATCATTTTTTGTTAGCAATTTTCACCTAAACTGATCTAACTATTTAAAGAAAAACTTTGCTGTTCGATTTAATTATAGGATGGCAGTATCACACTGACAATGAATAGTAATTTTCTAAAAAAATGATAAAAAAAATAATTACCCTAATTCCAAAGATACCGGCACTTTGAAGTCCAGCCCATGTTATACAGATAAGCAAAAATAAAAACCCAGTTTTCATTTTGCTTCTCAAGAATATAGGGTTATCATAATACATGCATTGTATAAAACATATCGTGCTCAACAAACCAAATAATGATGGTTGAATTATTAGAATGATTGAAAGTTCAGATACTATTGCGTAGATTGCATAAAACACGCAAGAAGCAGCCTTTTATCGTAAATTATTTGTAAGAAAAGGTTAGAAATCAACTAAATTGATCAAATTGATCAAATTGGAGAGAATTGATACAAACCCAAAAAAACATCGCAAGAGGTGAAAGACCTTTTTGACATACATAAAAATGGTGAACACCAACGTAATTAAAGTAATTATGATTTATTCAAATAAAGATTCCCAACACAATAATCCAAATCTCATTCATTGAAATTTATTAAAGTTTTTAATTTGGTATAATTAACTAATTTTATTCAAGATTAGTCAAGTGAATGAGAACGTGAAATTTGGATTTTTGCATATATATAACGGTAGGTATAAACGATAGGGTATAAAAGATAGGGTATAAAATATAGGGCATACTAAATTATTTATTAACAAATATTACTATACGACATACCTTTAGTTGATCCATTACGCCAATTCTTGTGGACTTTGTTTAAAACCGATATGGAATTATAGAGTTATGATATATTAAAATAAAATAGTTTTACCAAATTCTATCCTTACCTTGAGGTAGTAGTTGAAATCCCCATAAAACAGTTCCAATAGTTCCAAACACATAATTTAAATCATGAAATAATGTTCGATTACCGTCATTTTCCATTCTGATTATAAACAAGTTATGTCAAAATGAATTATGAATTTACATGCGCATATGAAAAACATTCTACAAATTTAAAAGGTTGAAAAAAAGGCTTGTTTCACCAAAATTATATTGTATTGATGAGCGGACTTACTTGCGTGAGATATGCAAATCTCAAAAAGAAATTTGCGTCATCAAATGAAATCCAGAATGTCTAAATATAGATCACTAAATCATAAATTTTTATTTCTATATTTATGCTTCTTAGTTTTTACTTGGTTACACTCAAATGAAAGAAATGATCAATAATTTATTACGTACCAATTGAAACAATTACTCATACCATTTCTGATTGGTCATTTATCATTGAATTAAACTTGTGATTTATTTAAAACTAGAATAAGGTTAGTTTATTGTACCATTGTAACTCAAATTCCCGAAATTCATTTTCTCGGAAGAACATATTCCCGATAAAGTTAACCGGCGTTAACTATAATGCTGTCTGATTTAGTCAGAATAATCTTTTTGGCCAAATGGCTTTCGATCGAACATATACATATTCTGTTGTTACTTTATCACCTGACATGGCTGATGTTTCTCTTACCGTTGTTACTATCTATGAATAAGAGAAGTACTGGGTTCAGATCAGGATAGTAAACGATGAGAAATAAGTGCTAAGAAACGAACGGCAAGTAAATAGGATAAATAGGAGAAACTAAGGAGGTAGGATATATATAAATAAGGGTTTGTATTAAATATTAATATTTAAGGGTGAATTATCAATAATGAAGCAAAGAGCTGCACGGATGCAGTGAGTCTAGTTATGACCATGGGTATGTTATATTAACGTGTGGTGTTTTGATTCGCGAAAAAAATCCATTTTTCTGTAGAAAAAACTGGTATATAATGATGTTTCGCATATTTTTACTCCCGATAAATCGCATGAAACAACATCCATGGCATTATTTTGAGACATGCTATTTAAAAGAGTTAATAATTAAATTAACTTAATGCGAACCGTGATTTTATTTTTAAAAAACTTCCACAAGCGTTATTTTACACAATATAGTAATCATACTATGAGCATGCCGTTTGAACTTGTCAAACAGAATAGTCTAACTGGTCTAGCATGTAACTTTTGCAGGGGCTATTCACTAAATTCAGGTGAAAATAATGTTAAAAGTGGACGATCTTCACATGACACCAATTATGAATTAGTTAAGTTATGAACAATGCTGAGCAAAAATTTGCTGCTAAATTTTCCTGCAAATAGGCTTAAGGGATATGATTCCTCGTATTTTCCCACTTTCAACTTTGCATCTAACGACTCCCATTACTTGACCAGTAATCAAAGGGCAACTTTTCATAGGGCTGGAGCCTTACTTTTTAAGTTCTTAAATTTGAAACCAAGTTTTTTAGCACTACGTATTATAATAATATGGGCTAATCGGTAGCATTTAGGCCTTAGATAGAGTTACTAAATTTAATCCGAGCCCACTTATATAATTTCTTTTTATTGGTTCGACAAATTATTAGGGTATTATAATTATGATTGGTTTGGTTTAATGAGGGTATATTCCGCACGGTCTGTAAGAAGGATTTAAGCCCATTAGCTTATCGTCTAACTTATTAGCCTGGGCATACTGAACATACTATTTGACATTGTTAGTGTTACGATTAGTGTAGGAAATCTGGTTTGAGGTTTATGTACTTGTGAAAACAAAATTATTTAATTTAATGTTCTCAAAAATATTTTATGTTCTTAATAACATAAATTTATTTATTCATGTTCCAATTTTCTAATTTTTTCGGAAAATATCGGTAATGTCACTACTGTTTTCGGAAAGCTTACAAAACTATCGGCAAAATTTAACTCCAATAGTCAACTTATATATTCTTTGTATTAAACTAGAGTAATAAAATAATCAATAGCAATAACTTTGTGCATATGAGAATATGTAACTAATTCATGATCGGGCCACTTGATTGTATCTATTGGTAATCGCAATTAATGTAATAAATTTATAATATTAGGGGTTGATTATAAGGACGAATCTAATTGTAACTACCTGTTACGAACTTATTTATAACAACTCAATTAGAACAACCAATAAAAATATCCAAAACTTCGTGTAACAAAACCCTAACTCTAACTGCTATTGGCTAATCCAAGGTTGTTACGAGAACGTTTATTTTAATTATAATATATAGCTCATCTCATCACTTCTGATACATTAAAACTAAAAAAATAATTTTTTTATATATAAAAATTTTTAAATTTTATTAATTTATTGGATTTTATAATTTTTCACTTATGCGATGTATCACCACTTATAAGATCACATGTAACGTTAAATCAAAATAATAATAAAAATGTGTTAGTTTAAGGTTAGGGTTAACATTAGATTAGAGTTAGATGTGGTTTTAGGAAATAGAGTTTTAACCTAAAAATTTTACAAGGAATATTTTTAATTAGAATATAAAAAGTGGTTTCATATGCAAAATCTTAAGTTACGAATGATTATTCAAAAAAGATAATGTTTCAATTTCACATTACACCTGATCTTGCATTCTAATTGGATAATCAAGAGTAGCGATACATCACTATTGTGATAAATAGCACGTCCGTAATCTGTGACAGGTTAAACCACTAATTTCAATCCCCGTCCGATTATATTCCCAGAGTAAGACTTGACTGCCATAAACTATTAAAAAAAATGAAATATAAATTCAAAAGTTGGCTTTGGATATTAACAAATATTATAGTTACTTTTTAAGCAAAGAAAATAATATTTCATTTCTTTAATTGTGCTATTGTTCAACACATTCTTACTTAAGAGATACTTTTTTTTACTCAATTCTACCTTTTTCGAATGAAGATAACTCAAAGAGCTGAATTCTATATCATTTATTCATGAACTCAGCAATTTTGATTAAACAGTCGCAACTAAAAAAATCACAAGAAAAATATTTGGATAATTTTATTTTATTTTATTACATTGATCTTTGAATTTATCTAACATGGTTCGTAATGTTGGCCTAATGTTTTGACAGTTTAAACTAAAAATAATATAATTACAGAAATATCATTCTCACCTATTTTATTAATTCTATTTTATAATTTTTTTAAAAAAAATATATATCCAAATTTGTATAATCTGCGAGACATTTGAAGGACCTTTCGTACTAAATTTTATTTTATTTTTTTTATAAACTTTATTAAAAAATTTGTTCTTTTTTTACAGGAAATCTTATTAGAAATCGATAGGTTATTTAAACAATTTACTCATGTTTGATAAAAAAAAAAAAAGTTAATTTATAAAATTGTAAACAAATTAAATAATAATCAAATATAATCAAATCAATTTTTATATATTCAACTTTAGTAATTAAATAGCCTTTTCATCATTATTTAAGGCATAGTCAGATGGTGTCAGAGGTAAAACCAACTAGGGATGGGTTCAGTTATGAATGGTCATAATCATTTATAGTCAATTTGCTAACTACTAAGATGATTTTTTACTTTTGAGCTTTTAATTAAAGTTGTTTAGAATTAAATTCTGATTATTCCATATTATATATGGAAAGAACGATACCTTCTCTGGAACTTGGAATTTTGAAATTTGTAACATCATGACCAGTTATTAACTGATGGTTAATAACTAGTTATGTCAATAACATATTTCAAAATTCTGAGTTCCAAAGAAAGTATTGTTCTTTTTATACATAATATAGAATGATCAGAATTTAATTCTGAACAACTTTAATTAAAAGCTCAAAAGTAAAAAATCATCTCAGTAGTTAGCAAATTGACTATGAATGATTATGACCACTCATGACTGAACCCATCTCTAAAACTGACACCTCATGGAACCTGCGAAATAAATGTCATTTTGACATACTTACCTAATTAGAGTTGCCCATGATGATCCAACTGAAACATGTGTGCCTGACCCCAATAAAGTCATATGAAAGTACACAAGCCTCTATGTGGAACCCAACCACCTCTTTCAATTAAAGTAAGATTGACCTGGACTAACCTGTTGTACTGAGAATAGATGTTAACTTTACCTGCCTTACTTGGATTAGGTGTAAGATGATGTCAAGGGAGTGTGATTGAAGACAATATGATGAGTTCTGATCCCAGGATCATGAAGCTGAAACATTTCTCATCAGTGCTATGAAAGTTGTGAGAAATGTTAAAGTAATGAAAGGCTGTGTGAAAGGGGTTAAAAGTTATAACAAATAAGATTGAGAAGTGTTGGGAATAATGGGAAGAGTTGTGGTCTTATAAAGGCTCTTCTCGTAGTAAATTTATTATAAAAAGGGTGAAATTTCCTTCTCCCAAAAGGTATTTTAGCATAGTTCAGAGTAGTTCAGAGAAGTTCAGCATAGTTCAATATAATTCGAATAAGTCCTAATAATATACTTATATTGCCCTCTACAAAAAATTAATAAAGTTATTAATAAAGACCCTTTGAACCACCAATACAATAATGTTTTTTAAAAACTGTAGTACTTATCTTGTAATACTTCTTAAACGATTGTCTCAACCTTGTGTCAAATTGTTAAACCACCTCTATTATCTTTGAGAAATGTTATGTGACATAACCCTTTTTCTAGTGACAATCTGTCACATTTGCTCTCATCTCTGGACTTGACATTAAACCTGTTACAATAGTAATTGAAATCAATGACATAATCTATCACAGATTACAGATGTGTTGATAAATATAATACTTTAATTATTAAGATTTTATTATATTATATATAGTAGTTTTTAAGTTATCTTTTAATATATATTTTATTATAATTTTATAAATGTTTTATTTTTTATTTATTATTTTATTTTTATTTATTTGTATAATATTAAGTAGAAAAAAATATGAATATATGAATATACTGATTAGATATAATTATATATAACTAAAAAATATATTTTTAAACTACATTATTGTTATTATATATATCTAACTACATCTAGTGTATCATTATTTTTTATTTTCTATTATTAGCTAATT